GGCCTGGGTTTTTATAGGGATTTTGTGTCCTGAGGCCAAATTCCAGGCAGGCACCATTCACCAAGGGTCTTTGATTGTTGGATGAATTGATTTCCTGGCGTTGGAGAATAGAGTCAAATAGACGTCCGGGCAGAGTCTCCTTATATGTAAAGAAGTTCTGAGTGTTCCTTGATTGTATCTCTGGTTGGGCTCTCAGGGTGAAGTGTCCAAGTCCGGTGCGGAGTCGATGGATATCTCGTCTGGGCTCTTCCTATTGTCTGGCCTGATTGCATCTTCAGTCGGGGCTTGCAGGAAGGGGTGCCCCGGTGCGGTGTGGGGTCGATGGGCATCTCGGCCTGGCTCCTTTCTTTGTTTAGCTTAATTGTTCGTGTCCTGCTCTTTCTTTCAGGCTGATGAACGTCGCCTAGGGTCGTTACCACCTGAATGGGTAGTTACTGCTGGATTTGGGGGAAATTCTTAGGCCGCAATATATTTTATATAATTTTTACATTGTTACAAATCCAGTTATATACTTATTTATTCTTTCACGAATTTTTATCCAAGGTTACATTTATCACACCTGCATGTCCCTTGTGTCCCCCTCCTCAGTCCTCTGTGCCCCCCATGTCCTCTGTGTATCCTTTTTATGGGCTCTGCATCTGCCCTGTGCCCCCTGCATGTTCCCTCTGGGCTGTGTGTCCCACTCCATGTCTCCTGTGTGTGTCTCCCAAGCCCTGTGTCCCTTTCTGGCTTTCCGGGGCTTTGTGAAAGCCCTCAGCTGTTCATGGCTGAACACTTCCCTGAACACCTCCAGGAATGGGGCAGCCACAGCTTCTCTGGGCACCCTGTGCCAGGGCCTCCCCATCCTCAAATGGAATAATTTCTTCCCAATATCCCATCTAAACCTGCCCTCTAGCAGTGGGAAGCCATTCCCCTTGCTGTGTCACTCCATACCCTTATCCAAAGTCTCTCTCCATCTCTCTTGGAGCCCCTTATAGGCACTGGAGCCATTTCCAGCATTCAAAAAGTGCCCTTGACCAGTTTGATTCAGGCTCTGTTTTCCTGATCGAGCCATCCCCAAGGTGCTGCTGGTCCTTATCAGCACTAAGTCTTTAGCTGTGACTCTGCTCTCTGTTTCCCCAGCCACCATGAACTGTCACAGGTTTTGGTTAATATTTGCCGTTTCTGTGCCTGTAAGGCCCAGAGTTTGGGAGGCACTCAAAAATTTCTCAGGGAGGATTTTTTGCATAATTTTACCACATTGCACTTCTTCTGTGAGTAGGTGGTTAACACGTTCTGGGAAGCGATGAGCGAGGCCAGAGGCCCCCAAAAGTCGTGAATCCCTTTTGGAAACGCTCGCTATGTTTCCATTCTGTCAGCTTTTCACAGCTACTGGGTGGGTGGCTTTTCCTGACATGTGTTCAGGTGACGTTTGGTCTGTTTAGTATTTTTTACACAAATTTCTAATGATGCTGTCTGATACATTTTTGGTGGTTTATTTAATGCTTTTCTTTCCCCCCAAGGTTCTTTTTTTTTTTTTGTTTTTTGTCCCCATGCAAACCAACCCTGCCTGATAACCAGCTGCCACCTCTATTTCCCTCATGTTCCTCACCAGTCTACCCAAGCTAATACCATTAAAGTGATATTCCACAAGGAACTGTATGTCTTTTCCTTCTCCAATATAACCAGACGTAACCAGCAAGGTTAAATCACCCGCTGGAAATGGTGTCTCCTTTTTTCATGGAAGTATGTCTGTCTCTCTACCAGTGCCACTGCTGGTGTTTTCCCTGACAGCTGCATCCTCGGGACCCCAGTGGGGTTGGACAGGACAGATAAAAGGTCCCTTTTTCCACTAAAACCATCTCCCTACAGTGCCCAAGAGCAGCAGCCTTACCAAGTTGGTAAGAAGGCAGCAAACCCCCAGTAATGCTGCCTTACTCCGGTTTTCCCAGCAGTCAGTGGCCTCTTGGACAGCAAAACCTGGCTTTCGCTGTCAGATCCCAGGATGGTCTCTGGGATCCTCCTAGCACAGAGAGTGGGATGATTACACCTCCTGGCACCTAATCTGCTCCCTGCTCTACCCCTTTATCAGTGGGCAGATTTGCTCCAGCCATGGTGCCAGCAAGGCTGCTGAAAGAGGGTGAGCTGTTATTTTTCAAACCAAATCACTCTGCAAAATTTCTGCATTTTGCCTGCCCAGGTGAGCCTTTGCATTTACCTTGGCAGAGCCTCTGATCCCTTCCTTTACTCAGGCACAGCTCAAGCACTTTGTAGGGATTCCTTCAAGAGTTATGTAGGTATTTTGCTTTCTTGACTTGGTTTTGATTTTTTACACAACGAACTCTTGACGTGGCATGGAGTGACAGGACAAGGGGCACTGGCAGAGGGCAGGGGTAGATTGGATATTGGGAAGAAATTCTTCCTGGTGAGACTGGGGAGGTGCTGGCACAGCTTGCCCAGAGAAGCTGTGGTTGCCCCATCCCTGGAGGCGTTCAAGGCCAGGCTGGAGAGGGCTTGGAGCAGCCTGAGATAGCGGAAAATGTCCCTGCCCATGGGAAGGTGTTGGAACCAAACCATTCCTTGATTCTATGATTTTGTGAGCGCTAGAGTGTGGTACAAGCCTTCAGTATTGTGTCTTCAGCACGCAGGGCTGCACAGTGGTGGGAGCCTCTCCACAATTCCTTCTGCTCCTCCCACTCCATTCTGCCCCAACAGATCCCATGCCTCTGTGGTTTTCTCCTTCAGATCACAAGAGGATGAAGGAAGTGTCTTGAATTAACTAGTTGTGAGGTGACCATGCTTGGTTTCATCACTATGTCTTGAATTGTGTGGCACCAAGAACTGTGCCTGTTTTCCTAAGACAAATGCAGAGGTTTACTTTACTACATCCATCTTTTAGAAGACCCTGGGTTAGTAGACTGTATCAAATCTCAGAGGAAGAGTGAGCAATGCTGCGTTTGCAGTCAGGTTGTTATCTCCAGAATCAGGAAGGTCAAGCTGCAAAAATAGAATTCCTGTTTATGCGGGCAGCAGCGTCCTGAGGACACATGGGAAAAGCATCAGGCATGGGCTGCTTGCCACTGCCACCACCGTGATGGCCCCAGCACTGTCCTGGCACTGTTCTCCCTGCCCTTACAGAGCACTGCCCTGGGAATTAAAACTTACTCCCCCCTGCCTTCCCCTCACTTTATCTCCTTGTGCACTGAGTGCTGCTGAGCTCTGTGGGAAGTTTCCCACCCTGGTTATTTTGATGGGATCATAAGATGTGGGACAGTCCAGGAGGGTGCTGCTATTTCAATATCCCCTCAAGGACAGGGAGGACAGTGGCCAGTGACATTGGGCACTGCTTGTGGTGGCAAAAGCCCTCCCGAAAAGGGAAGTGGGGGAACCTTTCCCCAGCAGCAGGAAAGCAGCCAGGCGCCCTCTCCCGCATGTCCTTGTGGATTACAAATTTCCCTGTTTTCAGCTACAGCTTTTGGACATTTTTGTGTACTTGGCTCCAGGGATGGGGTTGGGAGCGTTGACCATGCAGGGTCTCATTGGTTGGGGTTCCATCTCCCTGAGGAATACAGCCCTGCTCCCTCCCGCTCTGTCCAGCCCAGGCTGGATACTTTCTCGGGAAAAACTCATGAAGGAGACATTGGAGTTTTAAATAAGGAAGTTCATGTGGTTTCTAGAACTCCATTTGTTGTATTTGTAACTGTTTTATATCTTTTTCGATCTTCCTGTGTAAAGACTTTGCACATCCTCATTCCCAGCCACAGGGGGTGGCAGCAGGACCCTCATTCAAGCATTTATTACTTTGTTCCTCTGAGAATGGTGATAAACTGTCAATTTCTGCCTCTTTTATGCCGTGTGAAAAAGCGGTCACTGAGTATTCAGAGGATTAGGGTCCATTTTGTTAAATCTTTAGGTCCATTTTCTGTCTAATGCAGTTTATTAGGATTCTCACAATACAAAGAGAAGCTTTGGAACAAAAACAACCCATTTCTGGAGAGAGACGGACACATACGGTTTCATACCAACTTTATTTCTTTTTTTTTTCCTTTATTTTTTTTCATGATCACTTCTTTTGCACAACAACAACCTCAAGTTGACAATGAAATGCACGTGGCAGACCAAAGGGAACCGGACAAGGCTCTGTTAGGGATGGAAAGTCCTTCCATGACACTGTGCCAGCTCTCCACCCAGCACAAGGGATGGTGACCCAGGCTGTGGCAGGAGGAGCACATCCTGCCCGGAGGGCAGCCAGGGTGCTGAGCCCTGGGGTGACAGCTCAGCCCTGTGCCCACACAGTCATCTTCCAACCCTCTCCTGCAGCCACAGGCTGGGGAGTTCCTCCTGGGGTGCACAGCTGCATATCCCGACTCCATACTTTGGTACTTTCCATTTCAGAGCACTTTAGAGATGTGGAGGCATCGGCTCTCCCGTAGTCCCCATGGGGAGGGAGCATCTCTGTCCCCTTGTCAAAGGGTGTGGGAAACTGAGGCATGGGGGATGCCGGGGCAGGGATGCCCAGCTGTCCCCTGCGTCCCTGCACCCCGGGGACCATGGAGCACCCACGTAGGCATGGGCCAGTGCCTGTCTGCTGCTTTACTTAAAGACAACTGACTACAAAGGTGGAGTTTATTGGTCTTACTATGTCATCTCGTCCCTAGCATGGAGAGTAAGAAATCTCTAGCACCGTAAACAGCCATTCCCTGACTCATTTCAAGTGGTATCAGAGTGTATGTGCATATATCATTTCCACGGATGCGTTTCTGTGCGCGTGTGCACAGCCGGGTGCACAGCCACTGCGAGGAGGACGGGAATGCCATGGGAGGGATATAACAAATCCCATGAGGCAGGATTGCAGAGCCAGGGCCAGAGAGTCACACCAGGCTAAGCTAAAGCAAGCAAGCTGAAGTTTACATTTGAAAGGGAGCAGCAATATCGACCTACCCCCGAGGTAGGATTCATGCAACTCCTCAACTCCCAACGGCCCTGGAAGGTCAACTCAAAGGGACCCCCACAAGTGGGTCAGAGCAAGATTTTTTAATGGCTCCAAAATAATAAGACAAGGAATAGGCTCAGTCCAGAAGCAGTCGGAGGGGCCAGCATCCTTGGAAGTACCTATTTACAGGCAGAGTTGAGCTCTGTTGTAGGGAATAACGTGGGTGCAGAGCTGTAATTTGGGCTGCGAGGCCGGTGGTCCCGGCTTTCCTACAGCTTCACCCATCGCCTGGCTCTTGGTGGTGGTTGGGAGCTCATTTAGCTTCAGCTCCTGTTTCTTGCCCCAGTCAAAAGCTCCTCTCCAGGAGGGCTCTTGGAAGGCCTATGCATGCACATGATGATGTCACCCTCCTGACTTTCCTCCCTCACACCACTGCCACACTTGAGGTCTGGGTGGGGATGCCGTGGGTGCCCTGAGGATGCTCCCCCTACAAGGCACATTCCCATGTCCATATGCTGCTGCAAAAATGGGGCTGAAAAGTGTTGGTTCAGAACTCGATTCATAAACATCCTCAAGGATCAGTGGAGACCACAGGACCCACAATAAGGAAGGCCACCCCGAGAACTGGGGGAGGGTTACATGCCATGTCCACATCCATGGTACATGGGAATGCTCCAGGAATGACACAGGCTGGGGCAGTAAGGATGTTAATGAGGTTACTTAATTAGTCTCATCTGAGGCATGAAGTATGCAGCTGCACATAGCCAATAGCATGAAAGGATATGGAAAGGCATGGAATAACCATGATCCTGGCCCGAGCCATGTGCTGCAGGTTGGGCACAGCACTGCATGAGCTTCTGGCCACAATGGGTTTGGAGCAGTGGGTGGACACCCCTCATCCAGCCAACACCGTGCAGCCAAAGCAGTCATACATTTCCCTGATAGTGCCCAGTTGCACTGGACAAGCTCCTGAACATCCCTGCTCCATCCATCTGCACCAGGCAAACATGGCTCTGGGACACGTAAAGCCTCTGGCCCCACAGGTGAGGCTGTTTCCTTGGCACAACGTGTCTTGGCAGCAGCTCCCTGACATTACCAATGCTCAACTCTCCCTGCATGTCCCTGCTCCTCTGGTGCAGGAGCTTCTCCTGCAGTAACACATTTTCCAGCCATATCCACCATCCCTCACTGCACCAACCTGACAGAGGGGAAAAAAATTAGTTTCCCAGTGCTCACACCTGCATGAGCACCATCTGCCAGGCCATTCTGCACTTGCCATGGGAATTTTTGCCAGAAAAAGCTATTGCAAGAATAAGTCCCCACTTGAGACCCATCTGGGCTCCAGGGATGGGGAAGAGAGGGGTGTGGGGCAGCACAAGAGACCAAGAGGGAAGCTCCAGGCAGGAATTGAGCCTGGAGACTCAGGAGCTGTTTGAGAGGACAGCTCTGACCAGTACAACCTGTTACAGCCCTCTTCCAATACATGCTAAACCTGACAGATCCTCCAGCTTCTGCAGGGTTGCAAGGAACCACCTGGAACCTCCACATGGGGAGGTTTAGATCAACACTTAATTAATTATATGTACTAGAATTGAAGCATCACCTCTACTCTTCCTCTCAGCCCTTCCTTCTCCTCCCAGCACGAGGAGCAGCCGTCCCCGCTCTCACTGCCCTGCCCGCAGGACTCGGCTGCCTCCAGCTCCCAATTCCATCATTTTCCAGCTGCTCTCTGGTCCAGCATCCCACTGGCACCCTGCCTTCACCTGGCCCAGCCTCCGACTCCTTCTGAGCCCCCAGGAGAGAGTGAAAATGGCCATTTCTCTTGTTTTCAACTCTTGCTCATGAGTACAACATTTCTGATAATAATAATCATAATAATCATAGTACTAAAAACAGTATTTACAACAAGCTCCAGGTCAGAATTACACACCAAGCAAACACTCAGCACCACAGAGAGTAGGACAGGGTTAATATCTCGCAGATACCTTCTCAGATCCCACCAACGTGGGACACAGACATCTGACAGTTTCAACCATTTCTTACACACAAACATTTCATTTAAATTACTTCTTAAATTTTTTTTTTAAACTTTTTAAAATTTCTCGTCACTATATGAATGAGGTGATGCTGGCGGAGATGCCACGCTCTACACAGATGCTTATCTAAGACAGCTGCTACTATAAACTGATCATTAGCTACTGTTAAGAAATTCAACCCTCAGTTTCCTTCTTTGCCCTAAATCTAATTTTCTTTTGTCACTGACAGCACAGGAGCTTTCTAACAGCCCTGTCCGCCCCCGAGCCCAGGAGGAGGGATTTGGGAGTAAGGTAGCCCTTCCTTTTAGGAGCAGAGTCCCCTGACATCAAGCCATGGCCATGGAGGGATCCCTCCCACATCCAGCTGGGGATTCTATGGAGAACAGAAAAGAGCCCCAGGATTTGGTCCCCAGCAATCTGCCTTGTGATGGCCCCAAAGAGCCACATCCATCACTGGAAAGAGGGAAGGATTCTTCTGTTCACTAAAAGGCCATTTCACAACCATGCACCATCTCTGCTGGATTTTCTCTCCTAACAGAGTGGAATCCTATATTGTGGGAGCACTGGGGAGCCCACAGGAGGCTGAGGGTCTCTCCCAAGGTTCCCACAGAGCTGGGAATGAAATCACCACCCACAGCTCTCCTGGGCAGAGCAGCTAAGACCTCTCAGTCTCCCCTCAGCCAGGGAGAGGGTGGCTCAGTGGCCAGCCAGGGCATCAGGCAGTGCCTGCCGTGACAGGGACTTGCTGTGATGTGGCACCTGGCACCAAGCTTTGGGTGGAGCCCCTCAGCTGCTTCCACACGGGTTCTCAAAAATCACTCAAAGGTGAGGGCTGTGGTCACTGCCTAACTGGGATGGCTCTGGAGGCAGCCAAAAGATTGGGGTTCTGCACACTGCAAGTCCTGAGCCATCCATCCCTCTCTTTCCTCTCTCCCACCATGGGCAAACAGGGGGCTGCTCCCTATTTTACTTCACACACAGAAATTATCACTTACTTCCCATTTTTCTGAAACTGATATTTGGCCCAGAGGAAACACCAAGAGGAGGAAAAGCTCTGGATAAGAAATCCGTATTTCTTATGTGACACTGCTGGTTGAATTTATTAATATCTTCATTTGGGTTTTTTTTTTTAACATCAGTTTAAGAAATATTTAAAAAAAAAAGAAAAAAGACAAAACCCTCCAAAGAAGCTGTTTGATTGACTGATTGACAGATTGATTCTCTATTTGATGTGAACTAGTTGCTATTCTGCTTAGAGGTCCCTATGATCTGTGAATCCCCACAAGCACTGACGATTAGGGATGCAGAGAGAAGCGTGTAGCTGGGGGATGGGAGGGGGGATGGAGAACCGAATGACGCGTCTAGACAAACAAAATAAAACGTGTTGGTTGGTCAATTGGTTGGTTTGTTAACAGGAATCAGGTGCTAGATGTGTAGAAAAGCCCTTTATCCAGAGATCTCCTCCCGCTGTTCCTTGTTCCTGCGGACTTCGGCTGCGTGCAGTTCCTGCAAAGATGGGAGAGATGATACCGAGCTAACACGCCCTGCTCTTGTGATCAATATTTTCCTCCTGCACACAGGATTTGCATCAGACATAAAAAAAGAGACCAATTTCCCATCCAAAGCACCCCAAGGGTGGGGGTTACACCTGCAAGAAGTTAAGGATCATCTGTGGGAACTTGGAGGCGATGGAACCTCCAGTGAACACAGTCCTGGCTCCTCTCTCCTGCAAAACCCTTCATTCATGCATCTCTCAGTGAACCTGATGCTCTGGCTTTGCACTTGAACTTATCAGGATTATCCAGGCTATGTTTTCTACTGACCCTGAAGGACATAACCCAACTCCTCATGCTGCTCTGGAGCAGAGCTCCTCCTCAGCAACCACCACCAAGAAAACCTCCTGTCCCTTGTACCCATCACACTGGGACCAGACCCCATTTTTCCATAAGGATCAGCACCCCCAGACCTGTCCCGGGGGTCACGCTCACCTTCTCACGGAGCCGCTCCCTCAAGGCAGCAAGATGTGCCTCACGGATCTCCCTGCTCAGCTCCATCTTGTAGTTGAGCTTCTCCTCGGCCAGGCGGCTGAAGTTGTTGTTCTCCTCCAGTGCCTTGTGCAGCACCTCCCGCTCGTGTTCCCGCTTTTCCGCCAGCTGCTTCAGCACCTGCGCCTCCTGGGTCTGCCGAGGGAGTGGGGTGAGGCCACTGGAGAGGCTCTTCCAGCCTCCATCTCCCCAGGGAGGCTTTCTGACTCCCTCCTCTGCTCAAACCACTCTGCCACCCCCTCCACCCCATACAATCTTCCTGCTTGGAAGATACTTTTGACACCTTTTTCCCACCATTATAGAATTGTCTAGGTTGGAAAAGCCCTCTGAGATCACTGGCCAGCCCACCACTAACCCATATCCCCAAGTGCCACATCTACACAATGATGATGAGGATGATGATGATGATGATGATGATGGAGTAGAATTCTCTGCCTAAATCACACTGCAGAACTTCACCCATGTCTCACCTGACAATCTACAGTGGAATAACAAGTGTCAGAACACTTGCCAGCTGTTTTAGATTACTCCCACTGGGTTTTAAGATTTGGTGCAATTAGAACCAGAAAATCACTGCTTCTACAGGACATCTCCTTACCTTCCTCCTCTCTTCTGCAGCCTCCAGCCTCCTCTGCAGCTCCTCCAGGGACAGGTCCTTCTTCTTGGGAGGGGAGGAAAGGATTGGGCTCTCAGGAGATAAATCTGAAGGGGACTTCAGGATCACTTCGAAGCTCTGGCCTGATGCCCTCTTATCCAGTTGCTTCACCTCCATATCTTTGTGGAGAAAAAAAACAGTGACTCTGTGAACCTGTGCCATTCAGGAGAGCAATCTGAGGTCATCAAGCTCCTCACACTGGAATTAGGATTTTCCCATGTTCTAATCTGGGTGATTTTGTTTTATCTCCAGAATTTCTTGATTAGCGATCACCTTCATCCCCTCCATGCAAATGCAGTTAATTTAAAGTCATGGCATAATTACAGAAAGGTCACATTGCTGTTAATATCTTGTATGTCACCCCAGCATGAAGCAGAGAGACTCTGACTCTGGCAAACTCCCACATTGCCTTTGGGAGAATAATCCCAACGCTGCTGGAGCTCCTGTGGGAACAGATTACCTACCTCCATACTGGTAGATGGTGTTGGGATGGGGCTGGGTGTGGAAACAGGAGCAGATGAGGGAGAGCAGAGACAGCTCCTTCATTTTCTCCTTGTAGGCTGAAAAATATGAAATAGCAATGAGAGAGATTCTAATGGCAACAGCATCTCTTTTTCATTGAGAAATTAAGCAAGTACCCCATTTGCAGCTATCAGTCTCTATAGAGGCTTTTCCATGCAGCCAGGAAATCCCATTTGCGGCTACCAGACTCTGTGGCGATGTTGCCATGCTGCCATAGCTTGCCAAATGGTCCCCAAGGAGTGTCTGATCTACAGCAGCCTAAATTAGCTGCCAGTGTGGCAAATGTTATGAGAACACACACAGTAGGGATTTAACACATCCTGAGGCATAAGGTTCTGTGTAGGGTTTTCCCTCCAAAGGAGCTGGGATGCTGCAGCCCATTTAGTTAAACATGTTGGGACAGTTGCCCCACCCTTTCTTCACTGGAAGTGGAATTTCCAGTCTCTGAGATAAATGATGTCCGCTGACACCTGGAAACATTGCTCAAGCCCTGGTGAGTTGGGAATATTTCACAATTCACCTTTTCTGAGGTGAGGGTGAAGAGGCAAGAGGAACTCAGCAATGTGGAGAACAAAGGGGCATTTGAGTGACGAAACTGTTCAGGGGCTCTGCTACCAGGGGAAGAGCTGGGCCCCAAATTCACAAGATACCTCCTGCCCTGCAGCAGCAGATCAGGGAGGATGTGAGTGGATTCTGCCAGCACCTTGGCCCACACAGGCAGAAGTTGGCACAGTCTGTGACCACAGTAACCATCCTTCTGTAAAGGACAGGAAACACACAATCCTTTTGAGCTCTGCTCCTGTGAGTCCTCCAGTTTGCTCACTGTTCCTGTGACTGGAGGATTCACCACAGCATCCTCAGTGATTACAAGTGCTGCCCCAACAGACTGCAGTAATCTGCTTCTGGGGCAATCTTCACCTGTATTTTTGGAGTTCAGCACATTTAAGACAGTGAACTGTTTGCACACTGCTGACAAAGAACCTCAGAATAGAAGGAGTTGAAGCCAGTGAGGTGCTCTGTCAGGCTGTCACATTCTTTATCACATCAGTAAAACCCTGACAGCATCAGTCCTATGAGGCGGGTCAGCAGCTGGGGCTCAGCAGTGGGTGCTGCTGCCTTATGGGTCCTGTGAAGCTCTGTCCTGGGCTGGCTCCTTGGGTGACACCCAGGCTCGTGGGGACAGTGTCTTTGTGGCTGCATGTCCTGACAAACCTACCCTGAGTGTCCTTGTGCTGCCCTTCCTTCTGCCTCTGCCACAGGCACAGGCTGTGCTGTCCTGCCTTGGCTCTGCCTCTGGATTTCCCACAGATCCTGGTGCTTCTGGCCTTGGTTTGTCCCCTCTGTACTGAGCTCATTTTGTGCTCCAGCTAGAGGGGACTCTGCAACACAGCTTCCAATGCCACCTTCAGAGCAAAACCCTCCCCTGGGCCAGGACAGGGAAATCCCCAGAACTCTGATCTGAAGAGGCATTAGACACAGAACAATTCTGAATGAAGTAACATTATGTGTATCACATGGCCTTAGGAGCATATTTCAGGTATTCTCCACTGCCTTCCCACAGCTAATTGAGTGAGAAAAGCTATGCCTGCTTCATGCTCGCACTTATTTTTCCTCCTAGGTACAGAACTTCACTCTAATTATCACTCTTCTTTTGCTAAACCACCATACCTGAAGCTCATATCTTGACTGACAAGCTTTTAGCTTGCTCCCCATTCTGATTTGAACCTCCTGCCCAGTCCTTCTGTTGAATATAAACCAAATAGGAATAGTTTGCACCAGCAATGGCAGCTAGACATCTTTGATTTTGTTCTTAATGAAAAAAAGCTCTGGAGAGCCTCTGAGAGGCCCAAAGTCGTGACACAGAGCAGGAAGCTAATGCATCTCCTAATGTGCTGCCAAGAACCCTGAGGAGGATCCCTGGGAATAGATGAGAGACATTATCATTTATTATCATTTCGACATTATCATTTAATACAAACAAGCCAGTCAACAAGGTCATTGCTCCACCATTATGTCTGGTCCTGGGTGGAACCAAGGCATGAGGCAAATGTGCCACACCCCTGACCCCCTCATTTAATTCAATTTAATTGTCTGACAGCACTTGTTAGAGAGCACAGTGCTTTGTATTTCACGACTTGGGCTGTGTGCAGATGATTCCATATAGCATTCCTTGCCTTTCAGGCGGTTTGCCGTGGTGATTTCACAGCTACCTCCATTCCATCGGGATCTCCCCTGTCCCGCTTTCCCTTCTGTAGAGCAAGCTGACCGTCCCTCTCTGTCAATTAAAATGAAGAGGAGCAAGAGGACAAAAGGGCTGCGGCAGGGCTGTGCTGAGCGCTGGAAGCGCTCTGCGTCCTTCCCGCGCCCCGGAGCCCGCAGCTGCCCCCCGGCGCCAGCCGTCAGCCGCAATTAGCGGCACACGGGGCCCGGGCAGCGGCGGGGATGGTCCCGAGCAGCTCCTGCTGCCGGGGGCGAGCGGGAGAGCAGCGGGAAGGGGCAGCGGACCGAGCCCCCCGCGCCCCCCGGAGCTGCCGGTGCTGCGCTCCCCCCCGGAGCTGTCCCTTCAGGACTGACACCTCCGGCGGAGCCCGGCCGGGAGCTGTCCCTTCAGCACCTCCGCGGGGGCCGGGCATGAACGGGGGAAGGACTGAGCCCTGAAGAAATTATAGAACCATAGGAGCACGAAATCGTCACAGATTTGTTCGGGTTGGAAAAGCTCTCCAAGATCATCAGGTCCAAGTGTTCCCCCAGCACGGCCAAGCCCACCACTAAACCATGTCCCCAGGTGTCCATCTACATGGCCTTTAAATCCATCCAAGGATGGGGACTCCACCCATTCCCCTTGACAACCGTTTTGGTGAAAACATTTTCCTAATGTCCAATCTAAACCTCCCCTGGCACAACTTGAGCCATGTCCTCTTGTCCTGTCACTTGTTAATTGGGAGAGGAGGTCGACCCCCACCTTGTGGGGGCTGGACCTCCTGTCAGGGAGTTGTAGAGAGTGACAAGGTCCCCCCTGAGCCTTATTTCCTACAGGCTGAGCCTTCCCGGCTCCCTCAGTGGCTCCTGGTGCTCCAGATTCTGTTCCCTTCCCTAGCTCTGTTCCCTTCTCTGAACCAAGCCCAGCCCCTCAATGTAATTTACATCCTGAGGAATCCATGCCCTGAGAATTACATGGATCCCTGAAATCCCCACACCTGTGATCCAGAGCCACCAGTTGCACCTGTGGGACACAGAAGCATCACAGTGACGTCCTTGCACTCATGACACATTCTGTGACAAATTGTTTCATCAGGCCAAGCCAAGAAAAGGCATCCTGTGAGGAGAGGTACATCCTCTGACTCAGTAACTAAAATAAAGACCCATGACCTCTGGGTCACAGTTTAGGAAACTGTGTCAGTGAAGATCAAACCTGAGATCTCCTGAAACAAGACTTTGGCTCAATCACATCTGCTTAAAACTCAGGGGCAAAAGATCACCAACTTCAGCACTAGAATTTGTTTCAGAGGTATCCACACTCTCATTTGCAATAGATTTAAGGTTTTGAGGACATATTTATGCCAGTGGACAAAACCCTTGAACCAGGAAAAGGCATGTGGCTGGACAGAATATGACATGGCCAAGGAGTTCCTGCCCAGAAAGGCTGGATCTAGAGCTCAAATGTACATATTTTAAGAACAATTAGACAGGGAATGCTGAACTTTTTACTTGAGCATCTATTAGCGTTTTTACTTCTGTTAATTTAGTAAAAATAAACTAAGCTTGCACTGAGCAAATATTTAATTTCTGTATAAATTAATCTTACTCAGGTCCTCAGGGACTTGATACCAAAGCATTGCTTCAGTCTCAGAGGTGCAGCAAGAACTCTGCCTCCCTGGTGGGCAGAGGATTAGGATAGGCTGCTCACTCAGGTATGAATTAGTGATATTTTACTTCTCTTTTAAGGCAAACACTGTAATAGAAGGATCAGCAGCAAATTCATTCACTCTGGTATGGTCTTCCTCACTGTCATAATGTTTTACTGCTGTCATATCAAACATATCAGGGTTCAAACACTGCAAATAACTGAGTTGTGTAAACCAAGAAGTGAATAAACTGTAGAAGTTAGAGAAAATATATCAGCGTCCCATCCTGTAAAGTGGAGTGAACTCATATTTTGTTGGCTTTAGAGGAATCTGAGCAGTGATTAAGCTGCAATCCATAAAGATGCAGTCAATTCCTCAACCTTTCTGAAGATTTATGCCCAGTAATCAGCACAGGCGGATTCTGATTTGGTTGTATTCCACCCCACACCCCATGAGCCAATCAATCTTTATTAAAATTTTTTGTGTTACTGTTCTCTGCATATTGTATTACAATAGAATATATTGCCTGGGGAAAAAAAACCACTTTCTTCCTGTTGCAAAGAGAAGGACGGAGGTGTCCTGAACCTCCACCAAGGCACCAGGAGGCTCAGGGTGCTCCTTTCCTGTGCTCCCTCTAGTGCTGTAGGGAACATCCTGCATTTCCATATCCCCACGGCTTTGCAGGAGTGCTGTGCACACCATCGATCCATGTAAAGTGTTTATCTCCAAGTCAACCCCTGGAGACATTATCCAGCTGCTCCCCAAGTGCTGGTGGTGCCAGAGATGGAGGAACAGCTGGGAATGGTGTGGTGCAGGAGCAATGGGATTCGTTTGCCTGCTCAAGATGTGCCTGGATGGCTTCAAGCCTGGGGGCTTGAAACCTATTATTCATTAAAAAGTTTTGTTCTGTTTCCTGAATACATAAAGCTAAACTGCAGCCAGGTTTTGGGGTGGTATTTAGTGGCATCCAGCAAAAAAGAGCGAGGCCATCTTGACACAACACTAACACAGCATCAGTCACAGTGAACCACAGGCAGAGCAAGGCTAATTGATGTGAAATTTAAATGGAAGAGACTGGATGTGCTCTGTCTGATAGCAAGGTCAGAGGAAGGTTATTACTAGAAAATAATTTGGTTTGTGAAGATAACTTTAGAGAAGTAAGAATGAATTTCCATAATGAATATTATCTCATGAAAAAATAAGTATTGGCCAATTATAAATACAGTCAAAGCTTAAACAGAAGGTACAGAAGACAGAGAGAACTGAGACCTCCAGCACAGACTGCAATGCCACACACACAACAAAAGTAACCAGAGTCCTCAACAAGCCTTGAGAGTACAGCAAGCTCTAGATTTTCTCCCCTGCTATGAATCCTATCATAAAAATATTGGCCAGACCTTCAGCCTAATGCACTTCCATTTTCTTGCTCCCCAGCTTCCACGAACAAGTCAGCAGCACATCTTACAGAACCAGAAAACACTAGTGGGATTTTTGTTTAGCTTTTTGTTGGTTGGTTGGTTGATTGTTTTTCTTTTGAGGGTTTTTGGGTTTTTTGTCAGCTCAGTAGTTGTAGCCCACACTATATAAGGACCACAAGATCCAGGCCCAGAAGTTACCATGGGCTCATGTGGAATCATCCATGAGAACAGGCAGATGTGAGGTTTACTCTGCCTTCTGTCAGACATCTGCTCAACTGTTGCCCAGGAATGGTTTCCAATCACCCACCTCCTTCCCTCCAGGTTTTATTGGCAGCTCATGGATGTCACAACAACCTGTGCTGTGCACAGCCAAAGCATCAGCAAATCACTTGAGCTGTAGCACTGGAACATGTGGGCTGCTCCCAGGAAAATAGCCAGGGAAATCTCCTCTTGTATGGGCTCAGCAACAGAGAAGGCCCCAAGCTGTGCAGCAGAGCCCTGGCTGGGGGGTTACTGTTGGAAGGAGAGAAGCATGGCCTGCGTTGCTTGAAAAAGCAGAGGAAGGAACCAAATGGAAGCAGCTGAATCCAGAGTGTTTGTGGATTTGGGGCAAACACAGGTTTCACAGTCAGGTTTGGGTGAGACAGAGAGCTACCAAAGAACTGTGGAGCTGATGAGGAAGAAGTTATGAGACAGTCAGACAGAGCCCAGTGCCATGTTGTGTCAGGTACAGACATGCTGTATGACCACAGACAGTCATTTGGCCTCTTTGGATCTTGGTTTCCATTAAATGAGGATTATTATATTTCCCCATAATATAGTGGTACTATTTGTGTAAACAAATTCAGAAAGGATAACATTCTCTAGAAGGATAATAATCATGTAGAGGTACCTTGAAAGAATAGAAGGATTATTTGGAAATATGTTGGAGGAATATCACCATTTGGGAGGTGCCAAACTGCCACAGCACATGCACATGGTCTTCGGTTGCTCTCTGGCTCTTTTGTATTTTCTAAATTGTAGCCCATTGATTTGACTCCCTTCTGGAGATGAGACTTTAATTTTTAAATCATAACTCACATCTGGATGAGTAAAGCCTTTGTCAGTAGAACAACTGGGAGGGATTAGCCAGGCATGTTGTTTGCAATTAATTTAAGGGTATAGAAGTTTGAGTGAGTTTCAGGTCCCTCCAAGGATTGTCCTGAAGAATCATTGGCCCTGTTCACCTCTCTGCTTCCCACACTGCTGTCACAATGTGCTTATCTGCAGCCTGCTGGTTGCCACATCAGACCACTAAATCTCAGCTTTTACTCAAAAAAAGGAAAATGTGTGCATCTGATGAAACAGTGCCTTCACCAGATCTGAACCAACAATGACAGGTTCCAAGAAAGGGCTCCTTTGAGATGTCTGAAGCATCTTCCCAGAGTCTACATGGTGCCAATAAACAAGATATTATTTATATTTTAGAAAGAACAAGTATTTGCTAACTATTTAGAACCCTTGTTTAGATACTCTGGTAAAAACATATAAATGCCTACAATAATAGGCTCTTTTGGCATGTAAAACTGAATTCCCAGTAAAAGAACCATAATTTTTTAAGGCCACATAGACTTCTTCAACAGCCAGAGAAAAATACATTAATTATTTCTTAAGAACACAGAGAGATGGAGAGCTTGATAGAAAGGATTCTGACTCTCCAGCATGGGCAGAAGAAATGTCAGGACAGGGCAACACTATACAGTGTCCTTCAATGCCACCCGAAAAAGCGATCAGAGGTACATGAAGTCCCTCAGCTCTCACATTTCAGTGCAGGATGGGGAAACCTTGGGATCTGCCAAGGCCCATTTACCATGCCCGGTTATAAGGCCAGGAATGACAACCTGGTGTTTCCGCTTGGCTCCACCTTCTCAGACACGCCAGCGTCGGAGAAAGCCGGTGGGGATGTCACCTTCTGCATCATTTCATAATCTCAGGTCTCTTTATTCAACACAGATACTACAAACTGTGGGGGGAGTTCCTTAGCCCTGCAGAGCCCAGCCAGACCCTTGGTCCGCGGTGCACAAAAGCACCAAGGCCCGAGCAGAGGCTGCGGGAGGAGGTGCGAGGGCTCTGCCCTGCAAGGGCTGCCCGGCAGCAGGGCCGGCACCGCAGCCCAGCCGGCACTGAGCATGTGCCGCCCATCCCGCGGCTCCAGCACCGACAACAGCGCCCGGGGCCAGGAGAAAACGCCGCAGGTGACACGGAGAAAAGAGAGAGGGCAGACAGGCTCGGGGGAGCAAGCCCTGTTTCTTTTTATCCCAAGGATTTGGTTGGTTGTTTAAACAAACCAGGCAAATTTTCCCGAGGGGGATAAGCCCGCGGGCATCAGCCGCAGACGACTGCAGCTGCCCTCCCCTCGGCACGGATCGGCTTTTGCTGAGAATAAAGGAGAAAAAAATGAAGAAAGCAAACAAGACTCATTCCTTCATTGAAGGATTCCTAATTCTTTTTCTCCTGCTTTAACAGGCTACTCTCCGTTGCTGCTGTACGAGCAGTAGGCGATGGGGAATTGGGGAGCTGCTCCTGCAAAGGCAGCTGGGCGAGGCTCAGCCCCGACCCTCCCTTGGCACACTGCGCCCTATTCTCTCCCCTCCTGCCACAGCACTGCCTTCCATGACTTCCTACTCCTTGAAATTGCTTCTCTACTTGATCTGAGTCACAAGGAAGCCCCGTTTCATGCTTCTTCATGACCTTAAGTCTCTTTGACAGTAAAACTGCATCTTTGGGAGGACAAAATGTGCTATGGGCATGCAGTGGGTTGGGAGGGTGAGAATGCACCAACTGGAAATCCCATGTTCTGCCTACGTGTGTTTCATCCACCACCCCGTCCATCTCAAGTTTGATGCAACCTTGGTTTAGAGGGCTGGTAAGTCTGAGCCTTCCCTCCCACCCCCACTCTGCAAGCGAGGTCCAATCCTGCTCGGTAGGGAAGGCAGAAGATGGGTGGCACCTCCCAAAAGTGCACTGCTGCAGACATTCATTGAGACAGGGATACTCACAGGAATATATACAATAGCTGCAGGATTTCTGTCATAAACACATTTTTACAATGCTGCTTTACGTCTTTAATTGCATGCAAAGCCCACTCAGGATCAGCTGCACCCTTATACTCCCCCCACATACACGCCCCTCCATCTCTCTGTCCTTCTTCCCCCTGCATCTACTGTCTTTTAAAAGGAGCAAGGAATAGAAAATGCACGGCAGGAAACCACGGCAAAGGGCAGTGAAAGAAGCAAGAAGTGTTGCCTGGTCTCCTGCGGGCTGGTTCCCTGCCTGGGGGGCACAAAGCACTGCCTGCTCTTCCTTTTTGTCTGTCGCTCCTGCTCAGCCCTTCAGGATCTCGCTTCCCCCTCCCAAGCCCCTCTTTGTGAACTGCAGAATTCAGAGTAATAAAAAAAAAAAAAATCGGTTTCCTAAAAGAAAAAGACCCTCTAAACCCACCCACTCTTCATTGTACCATTTCAAGCTTTTCTCCTTCACCCAAACTCTCAGTTTTAGCCACCTGAATCTCTCCTTCCCAGTCAAAGGGGGCAAGACGAGTCTTTAGGAAGCTGGACCGAAGCAGCACAGCATCCTTGGGCTGCCATCCTGAAGCCAAACCCGAACAGGCTCCCGGGCAGCCGAGCTGTGATAGCCGAGCTGTGATTCCCGGCGCTGCTGCAGGAGGGAGGAAGGGCTTCCCTTGCAGCATCTCATTTCACCCAACGCCATCAGAGGACCGCTCCCCTGTATCATCTTCGAAACAAGAAATGTGAGCTGTGCAAGAAATCTGGGGCTGGGAAGCCCGGAGAATACACAAAACCCCATCCAGGTTCTTCTGGCTGGCTTTGGGGGATTTTTTAGGGCATTACTGACTCTTGCCCATGTCTTCCTCTCCATTACCAATTTAGGCAATGCATGATCTTCACAAAACAAAATGTAATTTCTGATTTCCTTACATCCAGCTGCATCGCATGCAATTTTTTCTCAGAAAAGAAAAAAAGCTCTACGATGTTACAAAAATAATATTTAATTGGCACGTAGCAGCATCTTCTAATGGCACAATGAAATGGCAGCAATACTTTAAACTGGCAAGTTTATCACACGTGTATTCATATTAAAATAAAAAGCCCACCTGCTATCTTGCATCAGAGGGGTGTGTGTGTATGGGGGAGGAAGGGGAACAATGCTGCCATACCAGCTGCCTCCTCAGTACAGAACTCCCCCACGAGGGAAAAAAAAAAAAACAAACCCAACTCAAACCCTCAGAATAATGATAAATATATATATATATATATAAAACTTGATGGTTTAAAAGTGCTTTGATGTCAAGCCCCCGAGAAGCCGCCTGTCCTACCTGAGACGGTGCTGGCCATGCTGCGGCGGGAGCGGAGCGGTGCTGCAGGAGCAGGAGGGAGCGCAGGAGCTGCGGAGGTGCTGCAATGCTGCGGGGAGGGAGGACTGAGTCAGCTGGAGGGGGCTGCAGCCATCCGCGGCGGGGAGAGGCTGGAGCGCCCAGAGAAAGGCGAGGGGTGGAAAGAAAAAGAAGGGTCACTAGTTCAGAATATTAATGAGCGTATCAGGCCTCCTTTCCTGGGTGGCTTTGACGGCAGATCCCTCCCAGGCAAGCCTGCCTGCCAGGAACACAGCCCCACGGCGGGGGGGCGAGACACACCCAGCTGGGCGCTGGCAAAAGAGGATTTTTTCCTCCTCTTCCTCCCTTTCTTGTCTGCTCGAGATGGGCTAAACCGCTTTTTCCCTTAGAGTTAAGCAAATTTCTTTTTTTTTTTTTTTTTAAGTTTTAATTTTTAAAATTTTTTTAAACCAGCCATTCCAAGGCAGCCTCACCTGCAGGGCCAGGTTGGGGGTCTGGCTTGACTGGGCTGAGGTGTGAAACCAAAATCCCAAACCTTGCAGCAGCTTTAGGCAAACAGCAAATGAAGGAGGGATCCCAGCAGGTTTTTAGGAATGGGATTAGTTTTTTTGGGTTTTTTTTTTTTTTTTTTGCACTGGCACTGAGGCACTAAAGGAGCTGCAGTTTGGGGAGGAAACTGCTGTAAAAGTAGAGGAGAAAGAGCAGAATGGAGCCTTTTGATTTCAGTGAGAATTCTCTGGGTTTCTCTCCCACCCTAGGCATCTTATAATTTTCTGTTTTCTATAATTTCCATTTGTGGCTATTGCCAGGGGCCAATGTTTCTGTGCTTTTAGAGCACCACACACACTCTTGTGAACAAGGAATCCTCCCAAACCCACACATCTCCTGGCACGCTGCAATGCAGACACTCCCAAACAATTCCAGCTGCTGCAGAGAACCACAAGTTGTTGGAATACCTGCCAGTGCTCTGGCTTGCTCAGGGGCAGAAGCCACAGACACTGCCTACTAAATTCAGCTAGAAAGACGAAGATTTTTTCTTCTTTCTTAATTTTCCCCTCAATCTCCCAGCATCCTATTCTAACACTGTCATGGAAGAAAAATAGAGGAAATGTCTAACTCAGAATAAAAGGAACACTATCCACACATCTTCAATGTGTGTTTGCAACAGTAGTTTTTTTTAATAACCTTTAACTGCTCCCTGTTCTGTCCAAGGCTTATTTTGTAGTTCCAACTCTCTCTACTTTCTCCTTGGATTGGATATCTACAACTTGACAGGTTATCTTGTGTGTATTTCAAAAATGAAACATGATCAGAGGAAGGCAGCCATCCCAGGCACCTGACTGCTGGAATGATTTCCCCCTTCTGTTCAGGATGAACTGTGCTTTTGATATTCCCAGCAGTCCCAAGAGGGTCTGGCTACCTCCTGCAACATTCTGGATCTTTTGGCATCAATCCAGCATGACTTTTCATCCTTTTATTAAGGAAAGGGTGTGGAATGATTTCAAGATGTCATGGCCATGTGTCCCACTGGAATACACTGTGAGAAAAAGGAAGCAAATTATTTGGAAGGTGAAGGTGAAAAGCTGTGTTGTTATTTCTCAACAGTAAATGGACTGAAAGGCTCTGGACTATCAGGATTAAAAGAAATCAAATAATTTGAAGGGCAAACAAAAGACTCAGAAAGATAACAAATGGCAATTCAATGCTCCCCTATTTGAAAAGCTGCAAATAATCTTCATGCCAACCACAGGAGTGTCACAGATGGTCCTTGTGGCTTTTTTGTCCCATTACTGCTCTTCTGGCAGCATCTGGATCTCATCTGGGAAGAGAGATCCTGCCTGGGCAGCCTCTGAACAAACATGGCCATTATTCACTTTGCACTTCTGCAGAGCAGCAGTGTTCCCCTTGCTGGAGTCCCTCGCGTGGTTCAGCCACTTCCCCACAGAGGTTAAGGATCATCTTTCACAAGTTTTTGGTTTTGTACGTTGCCTTTTTTTTCCCTTGAAAATGAAAAATAGTTTATTGAAGATCTTAAAACCCAGTAATGAGTGAGAAGTGGAGATGGGCTGGTTCCTCCTGGCTGGGCTGGCAGGGACAGGCAGGTGAGGGGCTGTCACACAACTCTCTGTGCTGCTTGGACACAGTTTTGAAATCTCTCCTCCCTCTCCAAGCTCCAGCTTTGTAAGAACTCAGGTTTTATCCTAGGCAGACAAACACCAAGATGACAATCCAGCAGGAGACCAACACCTTTATTTATCACGTCTGTATCCCAACAGATGCTGCAGCTTCACTAAACCTCCACAACAAGGAATATATTTTTCTCTCTAAACTTATAACCCATTTCCTCTATTCTGTTTTTAGAAGGCCAGCAATGCTGGAGGGAGCCTGCAGCCCTGGTCAGGTGAGGTCACTGGTGCAGAGGAGCAGCCTCCAGGAGCTGCAGAGAGGCTGGTGCTGACTCATGTCTGCTGTTGGACACGGGCACCTGCTGACTCACAGCCCACTCCTGCCTCGGGCTGGGCACCTCCCAGCTTCCCTCTCTCAGCAGGTGACACTGCTTCTATCAACAGCACCAAAAAAAGGCAAAATAATCTCCTTTGATACACTATTGATATTGTTCTTCCAGGTAGGAAAGACATACTTACAGGAAATAACAACAACACAGTATTCCATGTATTTATGAGGAGTTCTAAACACTTTTTCTGCCATAAAGTTAACCCACACGCTCACAAAGTTTCTTTTGCAGCTTAATTGTGTGTGACTGGTATCACATTAAAGCGTTCACAGTCAGAAACATAAGCAAAAGCAGCTGTTAAATTTTGTGTGGAGCACACTAAGATCCACAGGAATCTTAGAACTCAGCGTTCTCCAGTCCATTCCCTGCAATTAAGAGAGTTCATGATCCAGGTTCAGTTTATGATCCAAGTTCAGCTCAAGGAATTTAAGGGCTAGCAACCAAAACAGCAACACCCATGAGCTCCTCTGACCCAACACCATGACACAGGAGGTACCATAAGTTTGGGAACAGATCACACAATGTTTAGCTTACAGAGCTCAAGGTCTGTTCCTTTTAACATCAGAACTGTTCTACACACAAACAAGCTGTGCAGCTGGCCAGGAGTAAACTAATTTAAAGCTACATTAAAAGGAGCCACATCCTGTTCTACACCCATGCGGTGACAGCATGAGATACAGCAATAAACCACAGAGATGAGTACGAAATATTTTGTTCCTGCCTTCTCTCTCATATGGCTGCATAGAACATAGTTTTACAAAATGTGGGTATCCAAGTAAACCAAGCCTATACATTTATTAATCAGATTCTGACAAAACTGACTAGTCCGTCAATTCAGAGCAGTTCACCACAATCACACGGCCTAAGAACCTGGAATGCCGACAAAGCCATTCCTGGATGTGCCTGGCAGGGGACTGAAGGGTGGGAGCACCGCGCTGGAGAAAAGCCTGGAACAAAGGAGCGGCACATTCACCCCTAACAAAAGAGACCCGTCAGAATTCATTACCGTTCCTAACGCAGGAGCTACAGGCTCAACATAAAGCCACAGAACCCTCCCACCTCAAACGCTGAGGGTTTCACAAAGAATCCTGCCGTGCTGTGCCCTCTCCTGCGTGCAGCACCGCCCAAGGGTGGCCGACCCCAGCACAAAGCGCAGCAGGGCTCTGGAGGCAAGCTCTGGCCAAGGGCATCGCTTATCACACGATCCGGAACCGCTCAAAAGGGGAGAAACGCCATTCCCGGGCGGCCCTGGCGCGGGGGGCCTCTACAGGGCTGGGAGGCTTTGGAAATGCAGCTTTTCGCGAGCGAACAGCCGATATTCCGCCTCTTCGGGGCCGAACCTCGGCCTCCGCCCCGGGGGAAGCGGCTGCGGAACCCTCCGGCTGAACCACCCGAGCCTGTCTGGGTGAGCGGAACCCGCTTCCCTCAGACCCGGCAGCGCTCAAACCCCAGCGGGCTCGCACCGCTCCTGCCCGGGGCGCCTCATGAGACGCCATCAGCACTCAGCCCCGCTCGCTCCCCAACACTCCGGCCCTGGCTCCGCCGGACTCCCCCCGGCCCGGGCCCGCCATGGCCGCCGCCTTCCCCGCCCGTTACCGGGGGCAACGCCGCTGCTCTCGCGAGAGCGCGCAGGAAGTGACGCACCGAACGCATTGGTGTGGCACGTGACAGCGGCGCGGGGATTCCGAGCGGCGCAGCGGGAGGTGCGGGCCCGCCGGGACACGGGGACACAGCAACATGGGGCACGGGAACGGGGGGACCCCGGAGCACAGGGATCTGGGACCCCGGGAACGGGGGTGGAGCGGGCGGTGCGGCCCGGCCCGGGAGTACGGGATGGGAGCGGATCCTGAGTGCCCGTGAGCCTCCTGCGGAGCCCCTGGTACCGGCCCGAAGCGGTGTGACCGAATTGCTCCTGCCAGTTCCTGAAGGGGCTGACAAGAAAGATGGAGGGAACCTCTTATAAGGGTCTGTAGTGACAGGACAAAGGGGAATGGCTTCAGCCTGACAGAGGGCAGGGTTAGATGCGATATTAGGAAGAAACTCATCCCTGTGAGGATGGGGAGGCCCTGGCACAGGTTGCTCAGAGAAGCTGTGGCTGCCCCATCCCTGGAAGTGTCCAAAGCCAGGTTGGATGGGGCTTTGAGCAACCTGGGATAGCGGAAGGTGTCCCTGCCCATGGCAGGGGTTGAATGAGGTGAACTTTCAGGTCTCTTCCAGCCCTATCATGGCACGATATCACTGCGACAGCAGGCTCATCATGTTCTGCCCTTCCTTGCAGGCACCTCAGGGGGTGAACCATGCCCAGGATCACTCTGAATGGAATCACGGTGGATTTCCCCTTCCAGCCCTACCCATGCCAGGAAGCCTACATGGCCAAGGTGCTGGAATGCCTGCAAAAGGTGTGTGAGTGTCATCTGTGTATCATTTCTAATGGTACAAAATGATTTCTCTAAGAAGATATTGTCACAATTCAAGTTTTCTTTATGTGCTTTGTATGCTGTCTTTCCAAATATTATCTGATCTTTTAATTGTATTTTTATTTTACTCTGTGGTAATTAAAATTGCAGCTGGCAGGTGACAGTCAGTAGAAATATAGATGTGATGTTTCTGCCTAAATTGGGAAAAGGAAGAAAAGCTGAGAAAGTAGTGCTTGTATTCATTGAGTCTGTCCTTGGCTCTCTGGGGTTCCACAGAATTACAGAATCATGGATGGTTATATTTGGAAGGGACCTTAAAGCTCACTTTGTTCCCACCACCTGCCATGGGCAGGGACACCTTCCACTATCCCAGGTTGCTCCAAGCCTCATCCAACCTGGATTTGGACACTTCCAGGGATTGGGCAGCCACACCTTATCTGGGCCCCCTGTGCCAGGGCCTCACTGCCCTCCCTGGGAAGAATTTCTTTCTAATGTCTAATATAAACCTACTCTCTGTCAGTAGGAATCCATTCTTCCTTGTCCTGTCCTTGTAAAAAGTCCCTTACCATGTTTTTTGTAGCCCCCTTCAGAAACTGGAAGGCCCCAGTTAGGTCGCCTTGGATCCTTCTGTTCTCCAGGCTGAACAATCCCAATTGTCTCTTCCTCGTAGGAAGGATTTGGTTGGCTTGTTAATATTTGGACTATTTGTATAATTTTCATTTGCTGTGTGAGAGGATAATTTTACTGAATGAATGTCAAAATAATAAAATGCTTTTTTCACAGTAGTTATATATTTATTTTTTTTTTCCTGGACACATCTTCATGTTCCCTGTTCTCCTGAGGTTCCAAACAAGCTTATTGTGGAAACTTTGGCTTTCCACCTGGCTCTGCATTGCTCTGTATCACAGTGCCTGCTTGGTGCCTCCTCTCATTGAACTCAGTGAACTCATGATATAAATTCCTTTCATACACTTGAGCTCACTGCTGCTTTTTTCCAATTTTTAGTATTGCCACACACTTAAAAACTGTACCTGTAGGATGAGGTGTAAAGTTCTCTGCCTAAACTGACATGGGAGAAAACCTTAATCCTAAAGTAAACCAGCACTCTCTTGTCTGGGAGCCCCTTTCTGGGCTGTTTTTTCCATAACTTCTCATATTTTCATCTATTTTATGCTGAAATGTGACACACTCCAATGGCTCTAACAGTGAAGAATTGAATTCCTGTGCTAAATAAATGTGATGGCTGGCTCTGGGTTTTTGATTGAGCCTCATTAAATTAATTAGAGAGTTCTACAGGTTGATCAGACCTCATGTGTGGGTGTTCCTTGGTGATGCTGCCAGCCGGTGTTTGCCCCTTGGCAGGGGACGTTCAGTACTGCACCAAGACCTGTCCTACTGAACCCTTAAATCCCTCTTTTATTTCTCTCCAACAAAGAAGGTAAATGGCATTTTGGAGAGCCCCACAGGCACGGGGAAGACCCTCTGCCTGCTGTGTTCCACCCTGGCCTGGCGGGAGCACTTCAAGGACACCATTTCAGCCCGGAAAATCGCACAGCGTATGAATGGGGTGGAGCTCTTTCCTGACAGACCTTTGTCCTCCTGGGGCACTGCTGCCACAGATGGAGATGTCCCAAGTGAGTACCACCACCTCTGCACTCAGGGGTGTGAGCCAGCATGTGCTTTTATCTATTTTTCATAATAAATATGCAATTATAAAAGTTACAGAGCTATTGCTGAGCAGGTGAAGCACAGTTTCACCATTTTGTACATTTTCAAGGTGTTTTCTGTAGTTTGAATTTTTCTTAGAGCTCATTTAGTTCTTTAGTTTCTTAGAAACTCATTTAGCTCATTTTATGTATGTGAATAATTAGATTACAGCATTTCCTGCTGTCTCTACAAGGCAAACTGTTACCATAGTACCAGCTGGGGAAGAAGGCTAAGAATATCCCTGGTTCTCCTTTCTATGCTTGTAATGTCTTTCTGCTTTTTTTCTCTTGTTTTTGGCAGCTTATTACACTGACATTCCTAAAATAATTTATGCCTCCAGGACTCACTCCCAGCTCACACAGGTCATTAATGAGCTAAAGAACACGGTGTACAGGTGAGTATGATTTGGGATAGTGTCCTTATTCAAAGAAAAGGTAGAGAAACCCCTCTGGTGTAGTTATTGTTTGAACTTCTGTGGATGAATACATAAAAGATGATATCCAGAGAAATGTAGTTCCTTTAATGTGCACATTTAGAACCTTTCCTTGTTGATGGGTTTGGTTTATTTTAATGCTTCACAGCTTCTCTTCCCTCCTTCAGTCACAGAATTTTCTGAATTTAGTCTGGTTTTGGTTTTTTACTTGACATATTAGCTTATAAAATTACATTTTTAAATTTTTCCCTCTTAATATTTTTCTGGGGGCATATTTTTTTAGGCAACAGGAAGCCATTACCAAGTGGAACTTTTCATGCTGATGTACACCTATTAAGAACTTTGTGGGTTTTTTTGTACAGTGCCTGTCAGAGTTTTCAGCTCTTCACATGCCAGCATGTGGCTGAGCTCTTTGGACAGCCGTAGTCATTTGTTTATGTAGCTCATGGAAATACACAACCTTGTAATAGGCAAAAAATCCCAAACCATGGTGAATACTTGCAGTGAATCAGTTCTGTCCTAACCTTGTTCTGAACATCACAACCAGCTGGGAAAAGCTTCTAATGGATGACAGGCCCCAGCTGACTGGGCTGAGCTGTCATAACAGAACCCACATTTTGTGGTGGATGGTGTAAATTGCTGCTTGTGACTGCTTGCTGTGAGCTGCTGCTGCTCATTAACACCTACTGCTGCCAGCAGAGATGCAGTGCCTCAAAGTCCAGTAACACACCCAGCAGTTACAGACAGCCTAATGGACTTGTTCTGGCTCTGACCCTTGCTTTGTGCTCATCTGTTTCTCCTGAATCTTAAAGTTTTGATGTATTGAATCTAAGCATGTACAACTCTGTGTTTTCTTGCTTGATTTTTAATGTCAGTTTTGTGTATCCAGGCCAAAGATTTGTGTGCTGGGATCCAGGGAGCAGCTCTGCATCAATCCTGAAGTGAAGCGACAGGAGGGCAACCACATGCAGGTGAGATCAGAGCCTGGAGAGGATGTTCAGGGAGAACATGGAGGCTTTTGTGTCATTTCTGTGTCATTCTTCACTCTGACATTGTTTAACTACAAGTGGCTGCAGGGAAGCACAGGAATTGTAAATGTGTTTTTAGGAATGTTTAGTTTCCAGTTTTTTGAGTGCAAAATATAATTCTAAGTCTGTGGTGACATTTTCTATTCAGAGAAATGTCACTGTGTAGAACATGATAGTTAATAATTTGTAGTTTGCTTTCTGATCTGCTATTTATGTGTTTGTCAAGAGCAATAATAATTTCAAAATATTGCTTCAGTTATTGATTTAGCTGTTACTTTTACAATAAAGATTACTGTTTTAAAAAGTATTAATGGTAAAATATAACACATTTTTCTCAAGCACATGAGTGTTCTGTGCTGCAAAAGAAAAGCTTAATTTGCAAGGTGAGCAGGACATGTAATTTTAAAGCTGAAGAACTGTGATTAGCATTTATTAATTAGCTGGTGTTAGAACTGATTTCACTCCTTAACCTGCTTTCAGTGGTTTCACAAGCTGTGCTGCTCTGGACTGAAATAGGCTTTGTTTTACAGATCTACATGTGCCGAATGAAGGTGATGGCTCGTGCTTGTCATTTCTATAACAATGTGGAAGGTGAGTTCGGCTCACCTTAATTTCCCCTGGAAGCAAAGCCCTGTTTTTTGGGGAGGGAGGGATTTGCTAGGCAGGTGGACAGGTCTGTAAGAGGTGGCAGAATCCACCTGTGTGTTTCTCTGTTACTGTCTTTCAAGAATGAAATATTAGTGGATGAGTTTGATGATTGGGGTAACAACAAATCTTTGTGTGATGCCTTTACCTAATCTGGTGGTTTTAATGTAATCTTTTACAGAAAAGAGTACAGAGAAAGAACTGATTGAATCAATCATGGATATTGAAGACTTAGTTAAAAATGGAAACAAGCACAGGTGAGTGATCCCCTCTGACCTTCCTCCCCTGACTTGTGAAAATAATGAAAATAGTTTCTCTGCTCACTTTTATTAATCCATTTGTGTATCATAGTACATGAATGTTGAATACTTTCTTAATATTT